CTTCCTGAAGCATTTACTCCTGAAGCATTTACTCCTCTGGTAGTAGCATCTCCACTCATCCATCCAATTTCCAAGGCCAGAATCCTTGGCGTCATTGTTGATAGCTCTCTTTCTCTCCATATTGAATCCAATGGCTAAGCCAATGGGGCTCTTTCTACCTTCAAAATATATTCAAGATCTGACCACTTATCTCAATTTCTACTACTACCTCTCTGGTTCACGCACCCAGCCTCTCTCACCTAAACTTTTCCAGTAGTCTTCTAACTGGTCTCCCTGTTCTGGCCTTAGATTTCTGCGGTCCATTCCCAGAACTGCCAGATCTTTTTAAATATTGAGCTCTTGTCCTTTCTTTGTGAAAAAACCTCTTGGACTTCTTCAAAGCTTACAAGAACCTACAGCTCACTAAATAATATGGGCCTCCTGTCACCTCTCTGACTTTACCTCAGACTACTCCCTCTGGTGTCTCCACTCTAGGCACACTCTCCTACTTGCTTTTTTTGCAAAACTACAGGCACACATTTGTATCATGGCCTTTGTTTTCTATTCCTTCTATTAAAATGTTGTTCCTCCAAAAACTGTGTGACTCCCTCCTGTTCTCCATCAAGTTCCTTACCCATCTCCTTAAAGTTCCTTTCCTATCAAGTATTGCAGTTTCTCCACCCAGAGTTAGCCAAAGTCAAGGTGAAGGGCTCAGTCCTTCATACTTCCAATTGACCCAAGATTTCTGACACCATTTGCAAGTTCAGGGTCATCAGGCCTACCTTCACTTGAGACTAGCTGGCTGCAGAGTCGGGATCTCCACAGGTTCCCTCAGATTTAATAATTCACCAGAATGACTCACAGAACTCAGGAAAATGTTTTACTTATAATTCTTTTTTTAATATAACAACAGAATATACATCAGAACCAGTCAAAGGAAAAGATACATAAAACAGGATCTGGTACTGAGAGGATTCCAAAGGCACAGCTTCTGTATCCTCAGAGAGGCATTACCTTCATGGCATTAATTGTGGCAATGTGCACGTGGAGTTTTGCCAGCCCAGGAAGCTCACCTGAGCTTGTAGTCCAAGTTTTATTGAGGTTTCATTATACAGGCATGATTGACTTATTGGCCATGTGGTTGAACTCAGTCTTCTGCTTGCTCCCCTTCCTGGAAGTCAGGCTGATACCATACAGTTCAAAGTCCCAACCCTCTAGTCACAGGGTTTGTCTTTCTGGCATGGCCAATTCCTTCCCTGGGATTATTAGTGTGAGCAGCCTTACCCTGAGTCATGTCTTTAGCAAACACTATCAGGTGCCCACCATGAATCATGGCATAATCAGGTCAGTGTGAAAATCCAAAGACTTAGAGGTTACATCACAAGAATAGTGGACAAAGGCCAATAAATTAATTATTATACCTCCCACTGTCCCTTCTCATTTCCTGTTACCCCATCTCTGTTTTATTATCTCTAGTAGTGATTCCTATCTAACATATTCTATATGTGATTTGTATATCTTGATTATTATCTATCTTCCTTAAAGGATTAAAACTGCAAGAAGCAGGAATTTCTATTTTTATCTTTGTTGAATCTTCCATGATTTTAATAATCCTGATATAGTATGTATTCAATTAATATTATTTGAATGAATTAATTTTTTCTTTAAATTCAGATTTCCTAATAGTCCCTCCATTTGTTAAATTGAAAAAACCTTATCTAAATATGAATCCATGAATATTTGCATATGTGAGAAATTATCCAATATGAACTGTATCTTTTTAGCCCTCTTATAACAATGGAATATTTCAGATGGACTTTTAATTTACTAATACTAATGTGACCTCATTTTACTAGATTGTTAAGCACACTGAAATACGTTAACTTTAAATTCATCATACAGTTTTCTTAGATACACTGTCTTTGAAGTCTTTAAAGGAAACTTAATTCCGCGTCAGCATTAGGAGGTGATATTGGATTTATAACCCCAAGAAAGTGATGCATGAAGCTTTTTTAAAAAATCGATTCAGTGATTTTTATCAAATCTGTTTTCAAATATCAATGACAAACAGGTAATCTCCTGAAACATAGATATTAGGAAGATACTTTGTCTTTTTTGGTTAAATAAACTATGTCTTAAAACATTTCAAACTTGTATAAGAGGAAAGTGTAATGGATGATACTACTTTTATATACCACAGAGTAGAACAAGAATATGATGATAAAAATGAGCAGAGATTTCTCTAGTTCATGGAAAATTTTAGGTATTATCACTTTGAAGCCTATTTCTTGACACAAACAGAAAATAATTTTGAAAAATAGCAAAGCCAAGATATTTAAATGGATCTTATAATTGTGGATTAAATTGTGTGGTGTTTCAGAATTGTCTGTCTGAAAAAATATGTTGCATTCCACAAAGTTTCTAATTGCTACAGATAAGAAGAGAATTGTCTCTCGTAAGTTGTAAAGTCTTTGGAGATTTCTTCAAATTATAAAGTGAAATGTTCTGTCACTTCATAACTATTTCAATCACTTTTTGCAAAGTATATCTGCATCCATAGGCAAAAGAAATTTATTATCTCTGAATTGCAATTTGGACTGTCATGAGTTATTTCATATGACAAAGTTTGTCAAATCCACACTGAGTGTGCTGTTAGTGCTTTGCTCTTGAACTCAAGTACAAGACAGCTCTGTCTAAGTCACCATTTGCAGAAGTCAGACATGAATGTGCTGTTAAAGCAGTGCCATAAGTTAATTAGAGTGGGATTAGAAGGAAAGTGGGCAATTTAGGAATGTAAGAATTACTGTACCGAATCAGACCAATGGTTCTCCTGGCTTAGTATCCAGCCTCCAGCAGCTGTACTTGCTAATTTCTAAAGCTTAAAAAGAAAGGAATAAGACTACACAATTCACCTAGACAAATGTGCCATCTGTGATCTGGAAAGATTTTCTTCATGACCTCACTTAAATAATACCCAGAAGCAGGAGGTTTCAATCCTGTTATGATATTGCTTTCATTTGAATAGCTCTGGTTATTAATAATTCTTATTAAATCATCCATTCCTACATAGAATCAAGTAGTTCATCCATAAGCTATTTATCTCTAAAGCTCCTGAATTCATAGTTGAATATGTCTGTTTCTGTACACAAAATATGAATTTATAGTGTTTATTTGATACAAGTTCTTGAAGGTAAAATCTGCCTGTAGATAACTCCTGGATGACTGCCTACTCCTCTGCCCCAAATTTACTGGGTTCACAGGCTTTTGGCCAAAAAATTCTTGAATCTATTGTCACTACTCCCAATTTTCTATCCATTAACAATTGACAGAGCTATTCAAATGATGAAGAATTTATGTGCTGAATTTTTAGAAATGTTCAACTGGAGTCTTTCTTACATGATTTTGCTTAACAATGTATTGAAGGAAGAAGAATGAATTACTTGCCCTTATAATTTTAGTCTTCTGTTTATGATAGAAGTATCTGTGACTATTTCATAGGTTTCTTGATTATTTTACATACCTCCTCAAGGTCAGTATTTGTGCTATGGTTACAAAAAAGCCAGTTAGAGGAAAATCCCTCAAGAATAGTAAATGCCTACAAGCTGAAGTCTGAACCATTCTCTTAGGCTGTCAGATCTTAATGTGGTAACAGTAAAAAACTAAAGCTAAAGTCCTAATAGGATCTCCTCTATCCTAGAATCAGGAAAACTACTTTTTTCATTGTTATTCGCACTAAAATGAACATGCATTCTTTATGCCTATGTTAATTCTGTTCCCTCTCTCTAGCTTTCCCAACTTTTCTTTGTGGCTCATTTCCTATTCCTACTCCTTACTTCAGCTTGAATCTCATTCCTTCAGGTAATTTCCTTTTAAACATGTATTGATTGCTCTCTCTTCTGACAACTGGGGCCCCTTTGTTTACACTTGGTTCTTGATTGTAAAGTCCCTGAGAGAAACTACGTCTCCCACTTTATTTGTAGTTGTAGATTTTAGGGCAGTGTCTGATTCATTCTTATAGAGTAAAAATATATTTAAAGGAAATCAATAAGAGTTGCTAGTGACTAACTATTTGGATCCATTTCCAAAAGTTCACTCTACTACTGTTTGTATGACATAGGCAATAACATATTATTGAGTGCTATACAGGTGTAAATGAACCCAAAACTTTAAATTTCTAAAAAATCGAGGAAAGTATTATTGATTTAAAAATCACAATAAGAGGTATGGAAATATCAGCACAAAAAGAGAATATGAAGGTTCTCAATCCACTTAGACACATGATGTTGGGGACTGATGGGAATCCAAGCAGAAATAAAAGCAGAGGCAAGGCAAGGAAGTGAAATAGAAAAGGGAACTACTAAGGAACTATCCCTTATTCCTGCTGATTGGCTCATGAAGAGAATAGCTGAAAATAAACTCAGAAATGTGGGCAGTGCCTAGTTCATGAACCTTTATCTGAACCCAGTAGGGAATTACTGAAAGATTTTTCAGCGGTAAACATATCTGCAAAAATGTATGATCAACTTAAAAGTGAGACAAAAGACAGTTTCCTAAAGTAATATGGTTATTAAATAATGACATATGTAACCAGTCCCAAATTTAAGCAGCAGTAATAAAAACAAATAAAATGAAATAGATGCAAGAGATATTGAGTAGAAGACATTAATATTCATTGTGAAAAACTGGACTTGAGATAAGGAATAAAAATGAAACAAATTAACACTGCCCCTTTGAGCATGTTTAAATGTGAAGAAGACATTAGCATTATTGAAATAGAAGATACTTTTTTCTTCCTGTACATTAAGCAGAAATTTATGTAAAAAGTTCTTCAGTTTTAATTCTTATACTTTTAACATAGTACTTCCAGTCACTGAAAAATTCAACCTACTTCACTCACACCTGACATCATTAAGACAAATCTGTAATTCTTACTGACCTTTTAAAAACTCTCAATTTTGAAAATATTCCTTTTATCAAACAGTGATTTCACTAAAATTATAATGTCTCTCTTTCATTTTTAGAAATCCAAATGGGACCCAGAACAATAGCACAAGATGGCCTGCCTTCGAAAGCACTGAACAAAAATATTTTACTTTGAATACAGAGACACCAAGAATATACACTAAACTACGTGCTCAACAATGCCGATTCTGGACATTGTTTTTTCCCAGAGTCTTGGAAATGACAGGTGTGTGTTTTTTAGTATTTGGTTAAATGACTGGTTGTGGATTATGTAAAAGGAGGGTAAGGTAGACTATCCAATACACGCTGATGATGTTATTCTGGGACTTTTTAAAATGACTTGACTCTAATGTGCTCGGTATTTTAATAATTTTCTTGTAGCAAGTTTTGCTACATTTGAGGGCTTACAATATAAGGAGCAAGTCAGCACTAAAATAAAGAAAATTAAATAGAAATTTTCTCCTAGAGAAATGTAAAACGTAGTAGTGGAACTAAAATAGAGGACTACTTGATATTCAGCCAATCTTTGGAGAATTATTTATTAAATCAATGGACAAATCTATAAATATATAAAATAAACAATTTATAGAACTAAAAAGTAGAATAGGAAGGAGAACCAAGATGGCGGCGTGAGTAGAGCAGCGGAAATCTCCCCCCAAAAGCAAATATATTTCTGAAAATACAACAAATACAACTAATCCTAAAAGAGAGACCAGAAGACACAGGACAATAGCCAGACTACATCCACACCCATGAGAACCCAGTGCCTCA